GATCCAGATAACCTCAAAGATGTTGCCATCCTCAGGTCATTTCTCAGTGGTTTTGGGTTGTATTCTGTGGACTGCAGGGATTACAGTCATGTTTTGTCCCCTTCCTCTAATACTAGTCGTTTGTCCACTTCCACTGACCATGATGGGAGCAGACGGGTCTCATTTGTTAGGGGATTGGGATTGTAGACTAATCATGTTTGGAGGGAGGGGGGTTTCAATAGGGAGAGTTCTGGGATGAATGGGGATCGGTCAAGCGAGGGGCAGGAATGGGAGGTAGGGCCAGTGCTGAGCCTGGACTGGTATGAGAGCCTTAGGGATAGAGGGTAGGGCTGGGGTTGTCTAACCTGGTGAGTGTGGCTCAGCGGGGTGGCTGAGGTGTCTAAGTTCAATGTAGAAGTCCTCTGGCGGGTACCTGGGCTCCAGGGCACTGATCTGGAAATGGGAGTCTAGTGAGAGGAATGACAGGGAGGAGCCATTATTCCCAGGGCCCTGGTTTGGTAGGGGAGGGGGTCTGAGGGTAATGGTAGGGCAGGCTGGAAGGAATTAGGGCCCCTATGTGTAGCATTCAAAGGGGCTGGGGCCGGCAGGGCCATGGGGATTTGCTAGAGCTGAGGCCATTGGCCTTGCTTCCCCACCCCCCTCTACCCTTACCCCATCCCACCCTTTATAGGAATTGGTGTCCACTAGAACAGTGGAAGAAACCCTTGAAAGGGGTACCTTGTTAGGGCTGGGTCAGACAGGGGTTCCTTTTCTAGATGGTGAGGTATCTTTGGCCTCCATCTGGAATCTCCATACCTGGGCCCTAGCCTCTCTTTCCCTGGGTCACAGCCACCCTCCCCCTACCCCCTAATATAGGAACAAAGTGGGTCCTGGGCCTATAAGTCTGAAAAAGGCACTCGGGGTCCCTCCTTATACCCCTACTCCCTGGGGGAAATCATGCTTAGGATTCACCTACTAACCCGCTATCTCAGAGCTAGGACAGGGCCCCCCCTCAATGCAGAGAAGGAGAACAGGGTAGGACATGATGGCAAGGGACCATACTCAACCACTACTGACCTAACACGTTCACATAGCTGTAAGGGGTCCAGCCTGCTGTGTCTCTGTCAAGGGACTTGTTACTGAGCTGTTTGGAAAGTAGGAGAGCCGGTTAATACCTAGTGCCTGGAGGTGCTCCCTGCCAGACTTCACTCTTCCCAGACTTGTGCACCCACCTATGACCTATGAGGGAAAGGGAGAGCTAGGTGTTCTGTGAGAGGCCACCATGGTGTGGCTGATGGCAGCAGAACAGAGCATACACCCATTTACGCTGTCTGGCTGAAGCTGTAGGGTTTCCAGGTCGTTGGGGGGAAAGGAGGGCAGGGGAAGGTCCTTCCCAAAGGCAGAGAACCTGCCTGAGCCATGCTGATTCTGACAGGGGAAGTAGGTCAGCTGGTTGGGCTCTGGCAGTCTCACCTGCAACACGAGGCCATCTCTAGCACAGGATGGTGCTGAGGCCGCCTGCAACATCACTGGCATCTCTGCCATGAGACTGGGGCTGAGTGTGAGTCTCACTTTCACACGACCAAGGGAAAGCTTCAGTGTATGGTGTCCTTATAGTGCAATCTTTCCTCTTCCTGCATTTTCACAGCCGTATGAGGCAAGGACGGTTGTCCTCATTTTACAGGTCCTGCACTTGGTTACACAAGGAGTCTGTGGCAGAGCTGGGTCTACAATTCAGATTGTCTCAGCTCTGGGATTCATATCCGTATCATCTCATCCCAGCTGCCTGCTTTTCCTACATATGTCCTATTGCCAGGCTGAGGGGTCTTTGACCACCTAGAGCCACTTTGGACCCTGGGGTGAGGTGAACCAGAGAGTTAATAAGTGGGCTACTCTGCAGGAACTCCAGCACTTGACTGAAAGTGGCTCACACTTTTCTATTAGAATGAGACCAAGAATGACACAGCCACAAAGGACCTTGTCATCCCTTGCACCCTCTGTCTCTTACCTGCTGCAGCTTTGATAATGTGGCTCTAGCTAACCAAGGGCCTCCTACTGGGAAATGGGATTCCTTTCTCTTAGCTTTCAGCTCCTCAGATAAGCCTAAAGCTAAAGCTGGGAATGAGGAGTTACACTGGAATGGGGTCAGAGCTATAGGGCTGTGTATAGGGCCTGATGGCCACAGTCCTTGCATATAGGCCTCAAAGCATCCTGCATGCAGCACTCCCATTTGGAAAATCAGAGGTGGGTGGCCTTGGAGTGTTGGCTTGACAGTGGTTGTCCTCGGTTGTACTAGGGGGTCCAGGCTGCATTACTTTGGGTTCTGTGGAGCAGACAGGGAGAAAGGTTTCCCCGAGCTCAAGGGCAGAGGCCTGGAATATGAAAACTGCTCCTGCCCATGTTCCCAGCAGGAGGGGTGTTACAGGAAGCTAGGAGTCTGGCCTGCTTCTGTGTGTATATACATAGGTGGGTGTCAGGAGGAATGGGCAGCATGAACCTGTCAAACATTGTGGGCCTTGAGGCTGTTCTTCCTCATTTCTGAACCTCCCACTCTGCCAGGTACGGGCCCTAGTACACCAGCAGGGCTCACTACACATGTATTCTGAGACATCCTTGCCCAAGGGCTGTAAGGTGACATCTTAGCACCAGCCCAGGTTTATGCTCAGAGCTGTGAGGGAAGGCCCACAGGACTCACTGTTAATGAGAACACTAGCTATGGCTGAGGTTTGGGTCCTGCATCCTTTGCATTAGTTCTGACTACAATAAATGGTTGTGTACTGATGACGTGGTATGTCCAGGTATAAGGACATCAGCTGGTTATCTGAGTAACAGTGGTTACTCTCTAATGTGCTGGTTGCACACATGGTATTGTGTGCATAGCCAACTGCAGTGATTGGTGGTTTGTGGTGTATTTTGATTACATGTGTTAACATGTGGCAAAAGTGACTACATGGTGTACATGGTTATGTGACAAGGTTACACATGATTTTATGATCACATGACTTGGTACCAACTGGTTGTCCACAGGTGTGAGGTTTATGTTATATTGAGTGATGCTGTGGTTAGTTACATGTGATGCCTATTGGTTACATGGTGCTTGTTGGCTCCATGTAACCTGTAGGTTCCCTGCTACATGCTCACAGAGTATTTACATGTCCCATGGACCACAGGGCGGTGTTTAATCTATTGGCAGTTGGTTCCAGGGGGACCTTTCAGTTCATGGGGGGCGGGAGAGGGTAGGGGGTTACGGGTTCCTTCCTGGGCAGAGGTGAGGACTGAATGGGTGGACAGTGGATAGGGACTGGGGAGTCAGGGGCCCGGTACCTTGGTGGGGCTGTTCCTGTCCAGAGTGCTGGCCTGGCTGGTGGCAGGCCCCCCGCACTCCAGTGCGTAGTAGCTGGAATTGGAAAAGCACTGGGCATGGCTGCTACTTTGAGACAAATCTGGGAAGAGAACAAGTTGCCACATACCATCATACTCCTGCCCCTGGCGTGAGATGCCCCAATACTAATGCTTGGGCTGGGCAGCCTTGAGAGTGCTCTGCAAAGAGATAGCCAAGTCGTCCATCCCCCAAACTTTTGGCGTCCACCACCCCTACTGAAATTTGTGGAGCTGGCCTTCCCTGAAGCAGGCGGGATGCACCGTAACATTGCCAGTGTGTGGGGGGGCACCAGGAGCGTGGATGAGGAAACGTTGGCTTTGACAGCCTCACTTGTCCCCCAGTCAATACTTAGGGCTGTGCTGATCCTCTCCTGCTCCCCATGGTTATATCCCAGTATTGAGGCCATAAAGAGAAACCTCCCCTTGGCTCCAGACCTGCCCTCCTGCCCTATGGACTCCAGGACCTCTTGACAGGGATGGGGGATTCCAGTGGAATGGCATGGGAAAACCTGGCCAAGCTTGCTTATTAGTCACAGAAGAAAATCCCCAAATCTCTGGTCTTTCATCAGAGGATACCTGCTTTGGTGGAAACCCCAGGGTGGGAGTAGGGAGGTGGCAGGATAGCAAGGACAAGGACAAGTGTTTGCATGCCCCGTGCACCCTCTGCAGGGGACTCTGAAGGTAAGGTCTGCATCTGGGCCACGTCCATCTGTCCTGGAGCACCTGGCATAGAGCTGGGCACATGGTAGGCAACATGTAGCAGGAATGAGCCGACATGATGTTGTTGTTTTGTAAATACAAGGTGGAGGAGGCTTCAGATCAGCCATGAGCAATGGAGCCAGCTGGAGTGAGCTGTTATCCTTGTGCTCAGGCAGAGAGCAATTTCAGAGCATTTCAACCTCTTCTTTTTAACTAAATATGAAGCAAAAAGCCTTCCTTCTTTCTAAGGCAGCAGCCTAGGGTTGAGGGGAGAGGAAGGATCTGACCCAATAGTCCCCCCTACCCCACCCCCAGACTCCCATGGCTGATGTTACCACCACATTGATGGACAGGCTGATTTCCAATAGGCCTGGCCAGAGGGACATTGTCCACACTTTCAGATCTTCCCCAAGTCAGACACAATCCCCTTGGGGCTCTCCTGACTCTGCGAACTGGGAAGGGAGGTTTACTGAGACCTTCACCCAAAGAAGCAAAATTGGGACACTGGGTCCCAAAGCCAATTGCCCTGAGTTGTCACAGCCATCAGCCAGGAGAAGTTCCCCTGGAGAGTTTAGGAAAGTTGCTGTTTAAGTGGGTGCTCTTGGGGCTGAAGGATGGGAAGGTCTGGGGAAATGGAAGGAGGCTCTTGATCACCGGCACTCAGAGCTGGGGGCCCAGAAAGTGACACCCCATGGGACCTCATCTACCTTTTCTCAAGTAGGCCCATGCTCTCCACTCCCATCCTCTCTCTAGGGGAGTCTGAGCATCCAGCCCCTACCACCCACTCTGCAGGCATGACCACCCAGCTTCGGCAGTAAACTGGGGTGTCCCCAAGGATATGCTGTAGCTCTTCCTGGGTTGTAAGTGTGAGGGAAAAGGGAATGCCGGGGCACAGCCCTTACCTGAGAGGGAGTAGTCCGTGCTGGTCGTCCTCATGGCAGGTGTGTAGGAGACGCGGGGAGCCAGCTCCCGGCCCTTCTCTTTCTGCCGGCGGCGGCGCCAGGCGAACAGGCCCAGCAGCATCACAATGAGGAACAACAGGAGGACGATGCCTGTGACAGCACCCACCGAGTGCCGCTCTGCACCGAGCGCCGGGCTGATCTTGGTGTAGGGATTCAGCTCCTCCATCATGAGGGCGGCTGTGGGTGGAGGGAGGGCCTCAGCTGGGGCGCCTGCGGGCTCCTCAGATCTCTGGGAGGCTTGGGTTCCGGTCCTGGCCCTGGTCTTTAATTCCTGGGATCCCAACCCTTTACTGTGCCTATTTCTTCAGCTGCCTACCATGAGTGGGGTCCTAGGGAACTCGCCAGGGGACAAATGTGATTGTGGATCGGAAACAAAATGATGATTTAATATTTTACTCTTTTTCAAAAGATAAGTTAGATAATAACTCACTTAACCTTCCCAGCAGCCTGATTAAATAAGGACTAGTTCTTTCTCTTTCACAAGTGGAGAAACTGAGTCACTGAAAGGTTAGGTAACTTGCCCAAGATCAGACAACCAGTAATTGGTAGTGTCAAGTTTCTCACAAGTCAGAAAATCTTGGCTCAGCCCCTCTTACTAGCTGTGTTTCCTAGGTGTGACTCAAGAGAGTCCTCAGTTGGCTCGGTAATTGCACCCTCTGCAGGGGACTGTGAGCACCACCTGGCAGACTGGCAATGAGCTGTGCGTGCTGTACCAGTGTGCCTACAGATACTGTTCACGAAGCCCTTCTTGATACATGTAAGGGCTAACTCCTGTACACGAAGCCCTTCTTGATACATGTAAGAGCTAACTCCCGTCAGAATGCAATGTACATGGTTTTGGTCCCTTTTCTGTCATGTGAATAACCGAGCCCATTCTTATTCTCCATTTCCTTAAAACCAATAGCAATGTAATTCGCTACATGTGTGCAGCACTTTTCAGAGGGGTTTTATTTATAGGAAACCATTTCTCAAGGCCGCACATTGGTCGTCCCAATTGCCCTATGGGGGTCTTCTGACTAGACCAGGAGCCCCTTTGGGCTCCGTGGTTCTCTGTGGAACGTCATGCCATGATGGAAGACAAGGGCTAATCTACTCTTTCCACTTTGCGTGTGAAGTAACAGGCCCAATAAAAGGAGATGACCTGCCCAAGGACACCTAGTAGGTTGAAGACCAGAATTTGGCAGATCTTCAGATGGCCTGTGACTCCCCAGCACTAGCTTGTGGCTACCCTTGCTTGGCTCACAGGAAGCTTGCCAAGGATGGGCACAGTGAAGCTGAGGCTGCCTGCTCCATCTGCTCTCCAGCATCTGGGGCCTCCTTCCTCTCCTGTGTTCCCCCTCTCTGCCCAAAACTGAATAAAATCACAGTGTCCTTATACAATCCAGTTGTTCCTGTTGGGACCTCCCTAAAGTCTGCCTGCATGGGGCACTTTCCACAGCCCCTTGCCTGAGACTCTGCCATCTGTGCATTACCTTGGTCACACCTGATTCCTTTGAATCCAGAGCTGCAATAACAGGTGCCAGTGACGTGGTCACAGGTGGCATTGTTCATGCACTCACATAGCTGCTGACAGCCATAGCCAAAGGTTCCTGGGGCACATCCTGTGGAACATGGGGAGTTGGGTAGACAGCGAAATGCAGCACACAACACCCTCCTGTCCATACGTGGGCAGCTCTGCCTCACAGACCAGAACCTGCTTCTCTAGTTCCCGCTATGCTTTGATTTAATACTTGGAGGTAGACAGCAACTATACCTCCGAGTTGGAGGGCATCCCTATTTCCATTTAACACATTTATCAGTATCCTCCACATGCTAAACCCTAAGCTGAGTGCTATAAGGGCTACAGAGGAGGATAGAACCAAGTCCCATACCCATCAGGCATCTGCTGTGCCTCAACAATCCACCATCCCCACCCAATGGAGGAAGAAACCAGACACCAGTGTAGGCACCATCTTCAGCGCTTTTCCCTGGGAGTTAACTCCAGAAGTCAAGGGAGCAGGGTGTGGAGCCCGGGATGGGGGGCCCTTGAAGAGGGAAGCTTTCCCTGTGGGAGGCTGAGGCCTGGCCCCAACACCCAGGGGCATGAGTTGGGACAGCTTACTCTGCTCGCAGTGTTTCCCGGTGAAGCCTGTGCGGCAGGTGCACTTGCCGCTGATGTGGTCACAGCTGGCACCGTTCTGACACTGGCACACGCGCCCACAGTCCTTCCCATAAAATGCTGCCGGGCAGCCTGGAGAAACAGGATGCGGGTAATGCGGAGGTGCCCCTGGGACCAGACCTGCCTCCTGCCACCTTTCTTTGAGCACGGGGTGAAGACTAGTGGGACCATGCACCCGGGCCATTCCCACACTGAACCCTCACACTGAGGGGCTGGCGAGTCCTTTGGACAAAGGTGTTCTGGAACTAGAAGCCAAGCTGGGGTCTCCTGGCTGTGTAGTTAACAGGCCACTTCTGTTCACTCTGGGCCCCACTGTCCAAAGGTGGTCTGGTCTTGGTGATTGCTGGGGAATCTGCCAGCCTTGACCTCCCAGGACTCTGTGCTCTAACCCCTGAATCCAACCAAGCTTCTCTATCCTAGAGGTGGGAGTGCACCCAGCCCTTGGACACCACCTTCCCCCACCTTTCACAGAAGCCTGAACAATGCCCAAGGCAGCCAGCAGGCAGCTGTGGGGTTTCTAAACAGCTGGCAGCCAGGAGGCGGAGCTTACGCTGCGTGCAGAAGAGTCCAGTCCAGCCTGGGGTGCAGTGGCAGGCCCCGTCCTCCGAGCTGCAGCGTGCCCCGTTGTGGCAACTGCATGTGTGGAAGCAGGCAGGGCCCCAGAACCCAGGTGGGCAAGCTGGAGGCGGGAGGGGTGGGAGGGTATGGGCAAGGCAGAGAGGAACAGAGGGAAGGGAGGGAGAGGGTGGGAGGGTGCACGTCAGAGTCAAGATGCCAGGATGCACCCAGGTGCCATTTCCTGACTATGGGTGGTGGTGGTGGTGGTGGTGGGTGTACTGTATTCCCAGAATTCCTCTGTTCACTTCTTGGCCCAGCCACCCAGGATTTTCATTAAGTCCAGATTCTCAGCTCCTTTAAACCTTACCTGGCTGTGTCTCACCCATCAGCCAAGGAGCTACACAGAGCAGTTGGATTGGATACCCCTTACATAAACAGCCCCCAAAATGCCCTTTCTAGGCTTAATTTGTGCCAAGGACCATTTATATGGGCCACTCACAGGATGCCCTCACCCTTATAAGGTGACTGCCCTGGCCTCACCTCACTTCCTACTCCCTATCTCCAACATGCCAGTCAGTCCTTGACCCCTCTTCTCTCCATCCAAGGAGTAGGGGCCACTCCTTGCTCAGGTGCTGATGGAGTATCAATTTTCAGCATTAACAATATTAATGGTACTAACAACAATATTAATACCTTTGATAATGGCAGTTAATACCAGTGATCAATTCTAACAACTCATCGTATTAGAGAGCTAAGCGGGACTCAGGTGGACATTCCTATGACAGGAGATTTCAGGTCTCGGAGGTCGAGGCACCAGTGGCAAGGAGTGAGGTGTTTGGGGGCCTTACCTGGGGTAGGGGACATTCCCAGGAGGCAGCAGCTTACCCTGTGAGCAGTCCTTGCCAATCCATCCAGGGAAGCACTGGCAGGAGCCATCAATGGGGCTGCAGGTCCCATTGTTGGCACAGGAGCAGAACTGGGCACAGTCCTGCCCAAAGCGCCCTCCAGCACACACTGTGGGCACAGGATAGCTTGGTACCTGCCCTTCCATCAATACTCAGGCCACCACCCACAGCTGTATTCCCAGAAGTTTCTAGACTGCAGCCATGACCATCCTGGTCTGTAGGAACTGCCCAACTTGGCCCTTCTCCATTTGCACAGGAATGAGTTCCCCCCTCGTGCCCACAGCTGCGTCCCCTCCAGGTGAGGAACTGATTGAAGCCCTGGGGTAGGATCACTTGACTGAGGTCTCGCAGACACAAGTGGGGAGCTGGGAATCCCACTGCTGCACCCTCCAGTGCTCCCTGCACTGCCCTCCATCACCACACTCTGGCCAACATTACTAACCCCATAGCCATGAGGGCAGAGAACGTTTGCAGCTGGAAGGAGAGGGGCAGATAGATGTGGAAGGCAGGTCTGTCTGCTGTTTATTGGAGGCCTGGCCCTGAGGTCTATCCCTGTCCACCTATTTCCTGTTTCTTCAAATCTGACCTATTCCTCAAGCCTCAGCTCAGCCCTGTCCTCAGGAGAGCAACCCCCCCCCCCCCCCCCCCCACTGGATCCACAGGGAACTCTCACTCACCAAGCTTTTTTCTACCTGAGTCGCTTGTAGGGTTTGGTGTCAGCCCCTCCCGGAGGAGTCACTCTTTGGCCCCTGGAAGAGGCTATTTCCTCAGCTAGGCCACAAGCAACTTTAGGACTAGGTCCGAGTGTAAATCAAGCATCTACCTATCATTCCACCCCTGTAATCCCTCCTCCATCTTTTTCCTACAGCATTAGCTCTCAGAAGCTGTTGTCTTCGTGGCACACCTGAGCCTTGCCTGACATCCTCAGTGGCTCCCCGGTGCCCCAGAATAAAATCTGTATCCTAGAGATCAACACTTAATCTACCTCATCTAGACAGATGAGCCACTAACACACACCACTTTCCAAATGCGCCTCATGCCCATCTTCAGTCCAGCTCTTCCCTTCCCTGACCCTCATTCCAGCTGTAGAAATCCTACCCTGCCTACAGGACTCATCTTAAATGCCACCGCCTGCATGATCCCTCTGTAAGAGGCGCTAGTCCTCCAATATCAGTTCTCTCCTTCCTTAGGCCTATGGTCCCTGGAATAAATGATTTATTTCCTTGGCTCCTACAGAGCTTGGTGTGGCCTTGGGACTACACTCTGGCCAAGGGGAAGTAGAAATGTGTGTCTCTTTGCCTGTTCTCCTTGTTCAAGGATAATGTGGATTATGGGTAAGAATGTTGGGTGAGATGGCTGGCGCTCAAGCAGCCATCTTTCATCAGACATAAAAGTCATGTGCTGAGGATGGGAATGGCTGAAGGAGAGAGAAGGAGCCTGGGCCCCTGACATCTATGTAAGATGTCCTACCATTCCCAATGGCCAGCTTCTGGATCTTCTCCCTGCTTTGTTTTATTTTTAATGTGTGAGGGACATAATGTTTGTCATTTTCAAACCAGATATTTTGGGTTTTTAATGTCACCTATAGCTGAACTTGGTCCTACCTGATTCACTTCCTCTTCTCTCTTCTGGGTGGCTATTTGTTCCTGTTAGAGCTTCTAGAACACTCTGCTAGTTTCTTCCCTGGTCTTCTGTTACTGTGGCTTGTGAGCCTGTTTCAGGCCAGGCCTGGGTTCTGCGCATGTAGGCACGGCTGCTGAGTGTGTGGAAATACACTGCCCGCCCCCCCTCCCCCTCCCCAATTGTCTCCCAGGTCCTGCTTTGAAAGGCAGCGCTTAAAAATTTCCCCTCTGGCCCTAGCTAGTTTGGCTCAGTGGATAGAATGTTCATCTGCAGACTGAAGGGTCCCAGGTTTGATTCTGGTCAAGGACATATGCCCAGGTTGCAGGCTTGATCCCTGGGGGGGGGGGGGGGGGGTGTAGGAGGCAGCCAATCAATGATTCTCTCTCATCATTGATATTTCTCTCCCTCTCTCTTCCTCTTTGAAATCAATAATATATATATATATATCAATCAACAATGGGGAAAAAAAAGTTCCCCTCTAGACTCCAGGCTTTGTGAGGGCATGGACTTGGCTCTCTTGCTCTTTGTGCAGTCTGAGTGCCCAGCACAGTTCTTGGTATGCAGCAACCACTCAGGAAGCGTTGCAAAATGACCCAAATAGGCCCCAGCAGAAGCGACCTTCCAATCGTTTCTGCTAGAAGTTCCTGTCCCTTTGAGCTCCTCTCAGGTCAGCATGCTCTCCTCCAAGCCCAGTACCAGCAGCCCTCCATCCTCCAGGCTTCCTTGCATTCCTGTTATGGGAAAGGAACTCCACACGGAGATCATGGGGAGGTCTTGATTCTTGAAGAGAAGCAACTTCCCCAGGGCCCAGGCCTCTCAAAGCTTGGGCTGCACCCCTTTTATGCAGCACTGCCTGGCACCTGTATTGCCAGCCCTTTCCCAACCAGATCGCGGTACCTGGGATCTGTGCCTCAGATCCTGGACATGATTAGTGGTTGAGACAAATAGTAAAAACAGTGTGGTCTGGTTGAAAAGCCTTGGGCTCAGGTTTTGTATGTTCAACAAGCCCCTCCATGGCACTTCTGTGCCCCAGGCACTAGTCAAAGTGCTCCAAATAGGAGTTCAGTGAACTTGTAACTCTCTCATTATTCTATATTTTCGTTATTATTCCTTTCTATTAACTCTATTTCAGGTGAGACA